TTTTTTCTTTGGTCTCCTTCAGGCACAGTGTAGAGAGGATCATGAATTGTAAGCCCTCCATTGTATCGAGAATTCCTTGCTTGTTCAACAGTCTTACTAAATTGAGAAAATGTGTTAATCCTAGAAGCAAAGGAGAACAGTAGCAATAATCAGGAATCTTAAACACAGTCTTTTCCAGATTCCCAATACACTTGTATTGCCAGACAGCTCGTTTTATAAAATGTTGGCTTGGCTGCTCAGAAGAAATTGAAGGTGCAGCATTTTTCAGTTCAAGTTTTCTAGCATTGTCACTCTTACAACATCTGCAACTGGCAGGCATTTCTTCCATTATTCTGCATGAAAGTAAATTGTAGTCAGTATGTACATTTTGTTCACTGGGGGTTATGTCTGAATAGGGACAAAGCTTTCAACACTTATCTGTTTGTCATACTCAAAGTTAGGAGTTGTGATGGGCAGACTGTTTTTTTCCTAATACAGAAGGAGTTAAAAAGGGTCTCTCGGCTGGGCCAATTCCATCTTGTTTGTAACTATAACCCATGTCTGACCTTACATAAAAAGATGACCTGACTCTGCCAAGCAATGACCAGCAGGTGAGGCAGGTTTACATGGTTGCACTTAAATGGACCTTTGAAGGGGAGCTGAAAGAGGGTCCCTGAGTCCCTAAGCATTTGGACAGCACTGGGAATGGGCCACTCAAGCATGTGCCCTATTGCTATAGGCCATATTGTCTCATCCTGTTTCCCATGGAATTTGTTATAGTAAAAACTAGACAATCTTGCTTTTAACAGAGAGTGCAGTGATTCTGAATGTGTTCTGTCCAGAAGCACTCAAAACTCCAAAAAGCTAATTTGCAGCAGGACTCTCCAAAATTGATTAATTGAAGGTTTTGTTGGCTTTTGGACAGGAGTTAAACCCAGTGTACGTTGATCAGAGCCAACTGCATTCAACTTTATGATGACTGGACATCATATTGAATATTGCTTTATCTTTATTTGAAAATCTCTGCTTATGATACAACAGCACATCACACATAATGAGCTGTAGTCCTTGTAGAATATAAATTAAGAAGAGCTGAACTCCCAATGTACGAATACATGTCCCACCTCTGGCCACCTGCACAGTTTGGATGCCCTCTTTTAGAGCATTCTGCACAGAGCTCCCATCACTCTGAGCCACACCAGCTGGAAAAAAATCCATTCTCTGCCCATTCTAAAACAGTCTCTTTTGCAGTCATTTGTTTCACCAAGGAAAGTTGTGGAATCATTATACTTCTCTTACCAGAAGTCATTTTGCAGGATGACAAAGGTACTCACTGAGACAGATCTAACCTTTCCCAAACTCATTGATTTCTTAACAGTCTTCAGAACCTTCTCTTGGAATTCCCCATTTAGGACAAGATGAATCAGAGTTAGACTGTCTTGTTACAGAGTGGTATAACAGTAGCTCTAAAACACAACATGGAGATGACTGACTGCTTTTCCATCCCTGAGGACAGGTTGTGTTAGCCAATCATTTCAGACACACACACAGCATATAGATTGATAGCAGCATAGTAAAGCAGTTTTCAGCAGACAGAAAGTTTCTCCTTTCTGAAAATAGATCTTTCTGCTGGGAAGTGGTTGCTGGAGACAGAGTGGCTGGAACAGTTGCCATGGGCTGAATTCATCTGTGGCGTTGCACCACTGAATTCAGCACTTGTTCATCAAGAATAAATTCAGCCTCCTATATGTTAGCTAAACATTTTACTCATGTTAGTTTATCTCTTTAGTTTTCCTTTGAATGTCTTCCCTCTTTGAGGCTTTCTGCAGACTAAACTCACATCTTGTTTGGTGTACCCACTACCGCTTTTTTATATGACCGTGATAATATTATGCTCTAACATGCTTTTTGCTCAGTGAGCAAATGACAGGGCAAAAGGAGCTTTATTTGCTTTAAGCCTAAGTTGTGATATTTTACTCAATGTAGGTAAACACCCCTACACTCTAACACCCTTCTGATGAAATAATACTAAGGTACTGGGGGAGACAGAGATGGGGGGAAGAGTATAGAGAATGGTTGCAGGATAAGAGAGAGTACCTCCTCGACACAGGAGGTTGTTTTGGCCTATTCTGGAGCATTGATAGGGTAGCTAAAGGGACTTCAAATTAAGATAGGACAAAAAGATTTAGACGCTGGAGAGTGATTGAGGGAATGAGTGGTCCAGTGAGGGAGCTCCCAAAGGAGTTCAAGGCTTTTTCAACTGACGCTAGAAGAAGCTATCTTGGATCATTTAAAAGTACACAATAGATATTTTGTTTTGCTGGCCAATGCAAAAGGGAGTAGTTTAAGGTTGGTCTGTGTAGTCAGGAGTATTCATAATTTCCTCAGGTGTGCTGGGGAAGCCTGCTTACTGCAGCAGTTACTACACCTGTTCTAATGGTGTTGATTTTGCTCAGCCTATCCCACTACCAAAGGCTGCTCAGGAACATATGCTACCTAAGTAAGGTCTGCACTGCCATCTGAAGCAATGGTGGAATTCACCCTCTTTTGCTCTTTTTTTAAGCATCTTCCCATTAGAAATTCACTCATAGGACAAGATTTGTTTCTTTGGATAGGTTTGTGTCCTTTTTTGATGTAAAGAAATAATCCTGTTTTCTCGGCACATAAAACTGTAGGTGCTGAGCAGAATCTTAAGGTCATGTGTTTAACAGTACAGTAGTTCTGACATTTTTCAGTTCATCCTTACAAAAATAACATTAAATAATTTTATTTGATTTAATAAATAACATGTTCTGTTCGTACACTGATTCTAAATTGAAATACTTAACTAGACCCCATATAACAGAATCTTGATAGCCATTTGCATCTAAGAAAGTCCTGAATTCAAATGAGTATAGATATTTCTGTAAAAAAAAATTTAAAAAATTAAAGGGTAAGTTTTCAGCACTAAACAGCAAATTATACTAGGAAGTTGTATAAGCTGCAGAGGAGTTTGAGTTGTTTAATACTCTATGCCACATTGCAGCAAAACTCTGTGCCCTCGGCAGCCATCATGCATGGCACAGTGACAGCTGATATTTTTGTGCCCTCCCACAAATACGACACCCAGGGCTGGTTGCCTGGTTGCCCCTCCTCAGTTATGTTACTGTACAATGCACAGTGTTAAGGGTATTTCTTAAAGCAATCTACCAGAAACTTGGGAGAGAAAGGGCTTCTGCCTTTTTTCAGCTTTATATTATGAAAAGGCTTGAAAGATGTTTGCTTATTTTTAAAGATTCTTTTAGAGATTAGTCTTTACTTTAGAAATATTAGAAATATTGTATCCTTTCTTCCCTGACCACACCAAAGAACCTCTAGAAGGTTTCAGAGATATTTATTTTGGATACTATCAAAGTCACTGAGTCTCTAAACAAAGGCTTCCATTATTCAAAATGCAAATACATCAATGAAGTTAAATAGATGCTGAAACCAAAACAAACTAGAAACAATGAATTTTAAATGAGAAAACTCTTATTCTCTTAACTATGCAGCTTTGACTTTTTCAAATCCTGTGATGCTAGAACTTCAGTTATCATAGGATATTCCAGGGCATACATACCCACTTTTTTTCTTTTCACAGGGCCCATTTAAAGTTTATTTGATGGTTCATGTTTCATAGTTGGTAGTTGGTAGGGTCGGAAGGGACCTGAGCAGATCATCAAGTCCAACCCCATTCTGATATATGGGTGTTACTCTTTGGCAGAATACAAGATAGTGATATTTTGCATCACAGAAGTCAGGGGTGTCAAGTATATGGTATGTCTGCAGAGACACTTCATTTGGCCTATTGGACCTCCAGTAGGCTACTGGAAGTGGGAGAGTGGGGTATGCTGCAGAATTCAGGACTCCTAGGCCCTGGTGGACATGGCCATCAGTGGCAGAAAGGTGAACAAGCACTATGATGAAACAATCTTGCTCAGCCTGAAACTGCCAGTCCCACCACTGTCACTGCCACCCTGGGCTCCAGGTCAAATCAATCCCATGAGGGAGCCCTTTGGATTTGGCCTGAGGCATGGGCTAAGTTATGTTGGGTTATCAAACTTAATGTTAGCCAATCTTAGGGAAGAAATTCTTTAATGGATATGTTATTCTTGAACTTTCACTTGAGTATAGTTCTTATTTAATGTTGCTTTGTTGTTTAAGTCTGTTTCAGTTTGTTTCAGCTGCTTCCGTCAGTTTGACATATTATATTCTTTTGAACAGCCCCCAATAGTGAGACCTCTGTAAATAAAATTTATCTTCATTATAATAAGGCAGTCTCCATTTTGGCCACTTTCATAGCCTGCCAATTAATACTTGGAGAAGTTTCCAAAGTGATGACCTTAGAGAATTTTAAGACAATGTAGGTATCCACCTAGTGGCAGTAAAAATCTAAATTATTTTGATCTCCATTAAAAACATTCCAAAAGTTTTGTAATGCAGCTGTCTACCTGTCTGGTTGGATCAGAGTGAAAATTGTTTGAGACCTAAATCTGTAGACTATCTAAGCATTTCTGTGTTCAGTATCACTATATTTCTAAGCTTGTGGGCTTTGCAAGGTTTTGTAGGGAAGATATTGAAATAATGCCCAGCTGGAACTGTACTGGGAATTCCTTCAGTCAAAAGAAGGATATTTTTTTCCAGAAAAAAAACCCTGAGTGGAACAGCTCTAATCCTTATTTCACCGATCTTAAATGGGATGTTTCTTTTGGAGGACGGGGGAATGACACAAACCCCCTCATAATTTGAGGGGGTAAACGGTATTCTGACAGTTCTTACTGATGTTAAAACATTCACGAGTGAGATTTTAGCCAGGGATAAAAACTTCAACTTTTTTTTAAAAAAAGTATTGTTACAGAAGATCAAACAACTCCAGCAGTAATATGTTTAAGAGTGTCTTGGAAGGTCAGGAGCTTAGCACTCTCAACATAGCTATCACATTTCAAAGTATACTCTATTGTAAATTATGAAGGTAAAAATTAATAAATTTTTCCCTCCCCTAGGCATGAATGTAGACCAGAGAAATTGCCCTCACATTCCTTTGAAATTGATCATGAAGATATTGATAAAGATGAAGTAAGTATATTGAATTGTTTTTTCAGTTATTTATAGCTTTAAAATCAAATAAATAATGATAATGGTACCTTGCTATCTGCTCTAAAATTTCTTACTTTAAATAACTTGGAACAGCTTTGTTTCTTATGTGATCATGTGCACAGCAGGCAAATTAATAATCCATTTTTAAAAGAACTGTGAAATGTATATATTTTAGAGAAAGCAGATATTCATATGCAGTTTGTTTAGTCTGAAGAGTGCAAAAGCAGTATTAACAATGACTTTCTTATAGGATACAACATCCCATTCCTCTTCAAAGGGTGGTGGTGGAGGTGGAGGTGGAGGTGGAGGATTCGGGACAGGTGTTTTCAAATCCGGCTGGCTTTATAAAGGAAATTTTAACAGCACCGTAAACAACAGCATTACTGTTCGGGTAAGGGGACATCATTATTCTTTGTTTGTTCTGCTTGGCTCTGTAACACACACAGGGCTGGCTGCTGCTATTTTCCATTGTCATTTAGCCATTTATATCTCAAATTAGGTTTGATGCAACTGTACGAAGCAATTGCAAAGTAGATATGAATATTGTCTGCAAAGCCGCATAGTTAAAATGCAGTTAGCAGTAGTGTATTATTATTCCATGTCTATGAATGAAAGGTCTATTAAAATAATTTGCAATACAGTGATCATCTTTTTGTTTTTACTGTAGTCATTCAAAAAGCGCTACTTTCAGCTGACACAGTTGTCGGATAACTCATACATCATGAATTTTTATAAAGATGAGAAAATATCAAAGGAACCGAAGGGCTGTATTTTTTTGGATTCCTGTACAGGGGTTGTGCAGGTGAGTCACATTTTGTTTCATTCTAGTGGCTCCATGTAATTAACTATAGATTTTCTAGGAGGGTTTTGAATGTTAAAATAAAATAAAACATAAATGAGAATTCTTCTGGACAAGTGTGAGGAAGAGCATATATGTTTTGTTATAGATGGGTCTACTATCGGTCTCTTTATTAGATAACTTCACTGATTCAGTAGACAGATGAAGACAGAATCAGAACCATTTTGTTAGAAATGCAAGTATTACAAGCAGGCATTTATATATAAACTAACTAAATGGCACTAATTCTTTAGAAGGATCCATCCATAGGGAATCCCACTGACTTCAGGGAACTCTGGGCATGAATCTCAGACTGTGTGAATTCTGTTGCAGGATTGAGGACTAACAGGCTTCTTATTCAAAGAGGCTGCAGGCTTCATTGTCTCACATGACAGAGAATCTTAAAGAAGGCAAACAGGATAAAGCCTGCCTTTAGTTTTATTAGTAGTTTCATCAAAGAAATTGCAGTGTAAAGTGTATCTAGTTTCCAAAAGTTACTCAATTGGCAAAGGGTTGGGAACATTTCAAAGGGAAGTAGCTCAGCCTGTGGAAAAGAGAATACTGCTAAAGTAAAGTGCTGGACTGCTTCATTCTGGAGTTGCTCTGAAACAAAGCCTTCCAGTTCAGTCATCATAGAATCCTAGAAATCTGGGGTTGGAAGAGACTTCAGGAGGTCATCTAGTCCAACCCCCTGTTCAAAGCAGGACCATCCCCAACTAGTAGGGGTGTGCAAAATGGGCCTTATTTTATTTGGATTTGGTCTGAATCAGGGACAGTGATTTGATTAGTTGATTTGGATCATTGTCCCCGATTCAATTCAGCCGAATCTGCATCTGAAGATTCAATGCTGATTCGGAGAATCAATGATATGGTCACAGACACAACTTTAAATGTTTTTTCTACATACCCTGAGGTACCAGGCGTGACTTGTAAATGTTGCAATGCTGCAATGCTGGGGTGTTGTCCCCAGATCATGCGGATGGCTCTCCTCTGGACCCTCTCAGTGTTGTCCACATCCCTCCTGAAGTGCGGCGCACAGAACTGGACACAGTACTCCAGCTGTGGCCTAACAGCAGAGGGGGGAGGATCACCTCCTTGGCCCTACTTAAGATGCATCTGTGGACGTACGACAAGGTCTGGTTAGCTCTGCCAACCATGACCTCGCATTGTCAGCCCATGTTCATCCTGGAGTCAGTAATGACTCCAAGATCCCTTTCTGCCTCCGTGCTCTCAAGAAGGGAATTTCCCATCTTATAAGTGTGCTGCTGGTTACTACTGCCCAAGTGCAGCACCCTGCACTTGTCAGT